GTGCATCTTTAGAAATCGTGCTTTTTAAGATTCCCGAAATAAAAAATGTGATATATATTCATAGCCAACACGTTTGAAAATACGTTGATCTACCCTCTCTTCACTTACCTTAAACACGTCTTTGTGGGGAGGGTACTGCAATCATTGTATCATATTGTGCAAATGGGAAGATTGGCCGCTTTTGTACAACCCAAACGTTCGTATAACATCTACAAAATGTGATCGCGGTTATTTTTTTCGTTAAATGATTCAAATTTAAAAAATTAAAGCAAATCTTCGTATTCTTCTTTTTTCGCACTGTTATCAGCAACTATTATATCAATACAACGAATGTTTTGATGTTTTAAAGGTTGAAGTTATTTACCTAATTTATTATTATTATGAATACATAAGTATTTATTTCAGTAACATAATATGACTAAAATAAACAGTGTTACGTTATCACACACACTTTACGATGCAATGAATATGAAATGGATATGCAGGTATCTGTTATTCAGTAGTCACATGAACACTCATGTTTGCTGGTACCACGGGACACTCAACACAGTAACACATCGAATAGATGAGAATACAAATATAATTGTATATTATTCCACATGATTACAAACTATTGCCATGGTTATAATCCTTTCGTATATTAAACCGTTAGTTGAAGTGAGACCCATAATCCGTGCGTCATAAAAGTGCGTGCTAAGTAAATTGCGATCGGCCACTGAGAGAATATTGGTTGTCGCGTTAGACCGGTAGACCCAAGTTTAAATCCTATCTTAGGCGAAACATGAAAAGGGCAATCCCCTACTCTGGATGAGAGTGTGCCACAGACTCAATTGGAAGGCCAGTTTCACTGGCCGAGATTCATTCACTAACGAATGCGACTTTGGGGCAACCTTGGTTCAGATCCGTTGGTGCTTGTTTTTTACCGAGCCTGTTTGACGCCAGGATAGCGCATTAAAAATGTCATTTGATAAGGATATGGCCGCACAGCCCTGTCATGTAGTGCCAAACATCGGGCGTCGCTCCTTCAAAATCAAGCTGAAACTCTTTGTGTCAGCAAAATTTGTCCCTAAAAATGCAGGAAATAGCGTTTCATATGGTCTAGATTTCCAAATTTTCAAGGGCGAGCGTGCCCCTGTAAGATTGCACCAGTTGTGAATATATATTCGTAGTAACATGCACTATTAGTAACATACTATTCATTCTATATTACAATTGCTAGTCAACACAATAGGGTAACATAGGGTACATATGATTTAATTATAATTCTATCGGAGAACTCAAAAAATATTAATTTGAAGCGTGTATCCTACGGTTAAATACACAAATGAAAATATATATATATATAGAAGACCCCGTTAAAGTAATATTATTTATAACAAAATGTTGCTAAGTTCGACATTGTATTGTTTTCATAATAATATTACATGTAAAAAATGAAAGTGCAATATAAATTTTATCCACTAAGCGATAAATGAACACATGTGACTGTCCACATTATATAAACACAATATAAGTAAGAATCATGTAATTATCAAAATTTGTTTAATTTTTAATGTTATTTCGTTATTAATAGACAAGCGAAACATCGGCGCAATCTCGACCGATTTTCAAACACCAAATGACACTCGTTGTATTGTTTCGAATAACAGTATAGTCTAGCTTCGATGTATACTTTATTAACACAAAAAATATACTAAAATAGTGAAAACAAGCATCAAATATTTATCGATCACGTGGAGTTACATGTTCTGGTAACACATACAAACATTGAATAGATAATGTGACAAATTATGTGATTACTGATTAATGAGAAACTAACCAATCAAGGAAGGAGATTGATGACAAAAAGTTCGGATCCTATTGACCCTTGACCCTTGACCCGATATATAAGTATTGCTATAATGTAAATGAATAACCTCCTCCATCACCCCCACCGTTTTTATTTTTTTTGCGAATGGAATAACCTAAGGACAATAAAAGAGCTGGCACCGCGTTGATAATTTCATTCTCTGTGACAGCGAGAAAGATTTCAACAATGTTTTCACAAGGTGTGATTGTTTCTATTGTACTGGCTCTAACATTGGTTACTGCAGCAATTGAAAAGGTATGTATACTTTGTATACACTTGTAAGTTATATTTATAAAGTGTTTGTCACATTTAAAAAAACTTAAACTAATTTCGGACCGATTAGTATATTTTACATTTCGAATCTGTCCACACTTTTTGCAAAATATTAGCATCCATTATCAATGTTGCATGATTGATCAATATTGTATTCATAAATGTCGCTTGTAGCAAAGCTGAAATTAAATCTTATTAGCATGTTCTTTTTATAGTATTTGGTTGTATTATCGGCAACGCGGTTGAAAGCGCTTTCAGTTTCACCGTAAAGTTGTACGGCGTATTGAACGGTTGAACAAAAATCCCTTGCATACGAACACCTAATTACGCGAAGAACATAGAACGCTTTCCTGGGGTATTTGAAACCGAAATTGTCATCTGACTGTAAGACCGTCGCTGATTGGCTGCTGAGCTGGAATGCCAATTTTTGGTTTCAAATACCCCTGGAAAGTGTTCTATGTTCTTCGTGTAATTAGGTGTTCTTATTTAAGGGATTTTTCCACACAAAAACGCCGAATTCGGCCGAAATTTTGTTATCGGTTGGCTTAATATAACCCCAACGGATCGCATTTTTGTGAAAGATTTGTATTTTTGTCCAGATTTATCTCAAAAACGCGTTTCACAACTTGTCTCTTATTTAGTTTTATGCTGCATTCAAAATGGCGGCCCCCATATAGTAAATATCGTATTTATTTTATTATCACGTGTGCGCCAGCCCTGAGTACATGCTAACATACACTTGTCTTTGAGTATGCACTGAGAGAATGACCCTCAGTATAAATTGAACTTTATTAGATAGACCTGACCAGACACTGCCATCCAATCATGTCACTGATAGATTATACAATTTTTTCACACATTTATGGGGCATATACATCACTCATAGAAAGCAAAAAACAATCTTCATGATGTAGAACTACAGATCAAAACGATAATGACGCTTCGACACCGCCGTCGTGTTACCCACTTATGCTGTATAAGCGTTTTGTCACTAGAGGACGCGATTTATGGGAAAGGTGTATTAAAACTGCCCATGGGCGACACAAACACACGCAAACGAATTCTTTCTCCGGGATTATAAGTGAAACAACCTGAGATTGTTAACAAATAAACGACGACAGATCTGAATTAAATATCTGACTTGGCAGTCCAGTCCTCTCATGCAATTATCTCTCAACATACGTAGTCATCGTGGATGCATACATGATGTACAATTTCTACTAAGAAATACTCCCGCCTTCCAGCCATGAATCATTCGCGTATTTCCTATGATTGTTTACAGCGTCCATTATGTGAAAATAATGTTCCATCTAAACCGTATGGATGTATATCCGACACTGCGGGTGTTGCCATGTGTATTAGTGAAGACCAGATATGTGATGGCCTGACCGACTGTGGTGACGGATCAGACGAACAAGATTGTGGTAAGTACAGATTGAGAGAAAAGTTTACGCCAATTATAGTAGTTGGCGTTCATGAGATGCCGTCGACAATATTGAGTAAATAGACTGTGAAATTTTATTTCCAACATAACCACGATCACACCGTAGATGAGTGTAAGGTGAGAAGGTGAGTTGTTGAGAAGGTGGAATTAGTTTAATCAATGAAGGCGTAAATCAGGCGCGGTTCTAGCTTCTGAGTGATCAATGTAAACTTATGGTGAATATTACAGAATGATTTGTTATGGGGAAATTATGTTGATCTTGACTGGTACTTATAATGTAATTAATTTTTCAACGCCGAATCACTTAAGATTTATCAATGGCGCCCTCTAACATAATTCAAACATAATTTTACACAGTGATATAGTCACCTTAGCCCAAATGGAAATTTGAATACGGCGACTTGACGCCGGTTTGTGATCAATTATTTAGTGTAATTAGTATTTTATCACATTCATTTCTTCCATATTCCCTATTCGTTTAATAATAAGATTACAGTAAATGGTACGGCACTGCAGATGGCAAGTGCCCGGCTCCAAATCAAAATGCGTCGGGTGCTGGTGGTATGGCTGTTCTTGGGCCACAATTTAACGAGGCTCACAACTATTTTCGATGTCTCCATGGCGCCCAGAATATGACGTACGACGTGTTGCTTCAAGAAGGCGATGCCAAAAATGCTGCTGACAATAGCGCCGCTTCTGGCACACTGACACACACCTACAGCGGCGAGAATTTGGCGGGTGTACAAATTAGTGTCTCGAAGACTACAGGTATATAATTTTTTTTTAAATATTATACACGGTCACATACAGAGGTTCTGATTTTATTGTAACGTCACATTCGCTTTCGCACCCACACACTTCTATGTCCACACGATAAATGTTAACACACACTGGAAAGATGTTTTGTTCACACCATACGAGTTTATACTAAGAGTCAGGAGACCATTACTATAAATCACGCCCGCTAGTGACAATACGCTTCTATAACGTAAATGGGTGACTCAAAGGCCGTAATCCACCATCAACGAAAATTATGTTTGAC